ACACGACCTGTTCCCCATTTGTTTTCATCAACGAAAGGACTGAGTCGTATTTTGTAGTTTTACACATTTAGTAACTTAGCACATTTAGTAATTAGTGAAGACAACTCGAAGGGGTGTTTTTACATTTTTTAGTAATTAAATACTGTCCATCATAAATAGTTAAATATTTAAAAATTTCTTTTAGCTGCTCTTCTTGGCAACAACTTGTACCAACTGGTATTGTATACCGTGGGTATCATTTACAAAATAAATTCGTAATATCCATGCTCTTTCGAAACGCACAACTTGAAAAATTCTTCTGATCGATAAAAACTTACGTTTTCCAGTGTTTTTCAAACTGATGCTGTCCATTTTTCTTCGCTAAAGTATTACAATTCAGCATTTTACCTGAGGGTGCGGGCACCCTTATACATAGTCCTCGTTTTCATGAAGGATTTATTTCATCCCTTGCTTAATTAATTAATGAATAACTGAAACGAAAATCGGACTTGCGTAAGGATATGCGCTCCATGAAAAACGCTGGGGTTGGCTAAGAGTACCCACGATCAGTTTCAAACAATACACTGATCTTCAATTCGTACAACATTCTTTACAGCGGCACAATTAGGAATGTTTCTGCCTTTTCGAACAGCGACCATCTTGCATAAAGGTGCGGCATTATTATGCTAAAGAACTGTTATGAAGACGTTCTACATACACAACCACACAATCGCACGCACATATATACAGATATTTAATTTTCTGAAATTTTTAGTGGGAAGCACGAGGTATTATTTATTATATTGCAATGTTAAGTTTATGAACTGCGATTTTTTTTAAGAAAGATTTTTTTCAATAAGATAAGAAAAGACCTAATGAGTCGAAACTATCTTCTAGAAAGTCAGTGTAAAATTTCAAGTTTTGTTTATTTTTGCTGAAAAGGGCCTAATGACCAAAACTATCCTAACCTGAGATTCTATTTCATTTGATTAACTTCTGAAACTGGAACCATATGTCTCTCAAATAATACTTGGTAAAACAACCTTTTCAAACCTCTTGCATATTTTCATCCCTTTCATTATTAAATGAAGATTTTCTAGAAATGCGTACTTCAGAATAATCCAGAAGAAGCCAGTTATCCTTGTCCCTGAGTTTTCTATTATTAATATCAGCCAAACCCATAGGTAATTACTGTATTCTACTGTTCCCTGTAGAATTATCTCATATGATGTCTAATACTTTCGATTTCCTGATCCTTATTATCGATTGATCAGAATTACAATGATCCAGGAAGAGGAACTACTCGAAAGGAGTATCAAGCATCATCATGACCACCATCCAATCCTTTTGCAAGTTATCCATTGCTTTCGTTTTGCTCAAATGCTCGAATTAACATACTGCGATATTACAATTAATATAGTAAGCTTTTATGTTCATTGTTATTAGCATGAGTTAACTTTCGAATTATTATCTTCATATCTTCCTTTCGGATTACCATGATCCCTTATCAAGTTATGTTTAGGAACTCAAATCTTGCTGTATATCGATGGAAGCATCTCCGATAGCTTAGTTAAATGCACCGTGACTACATCCGCATGCTAAGAAAATAAACTCAAACAATGCATCAAGCGTATTGAAGTCATTTAGATTATCATGCTTCGATGTGAATGAAACATTATCGAAAGTTGCATACATCTTATCTACTATATGCTTAGTTTCTTAATCAGATGTTCTGCTTACGAATATGAATAGTGTTCAATATAAATCGGCTTTTGTTAATTCATGTGGATTTATTTCTTTCCCATTTCAAGTTTCAAGGACATTTCTGAAGATCAATCACGCTGAAAAAAGAAAATGACAATATCATTGCCAGTTCCCATACCTTCTAATAGCAATCTCATTGTTTCTTCTTAAAATGAAAATGTTGTCTTAAGAAGCGTGAAAAAGCAATTTTTAAAGGTAATAAAATTAAGGAAAATTTAAATTTAAAATTTAAAAATTTTTAAAGGCTGGTTAGGATTTTTTCTCGAAATTTGAAATAATAATCAAAATATAATTTTTAGTTGTATATTTCATCTGGCATTGGCATATTTTGTGGAACAGCTCTTGTTTAAAATATTAATCTAGCTTTTAAAACTTTCATGTCTCATTCTGAAAAATGATCTAGTATAAACACAAATTAATATAAGCTGAAAAATACTCTAGTATAAGTAAATAAATATAATGTGTGATAAAATTACAATTTTATGAAACATCTGGCAAATATTTAGCCACGCAACAATGAGCTGTTGCCATCCTACTCTGCGAAAACAAAATTCTCCAGTCTTTCAGAAAGATAATATCTGTAAGCATTTAATATTGTTATGAATTTTGTACATATATAAATAGTTTTAGTGAAATTATATGTGAAATTGTTATATATATATATTATATAGTTGTATAATCTAACATGAAAATCAGAAGAAGGCATGCTTTGCCGTAAAAATAAGAATGCTACTTAACATTAAATAAATGGCTACCTCGCTAACTTGGTGAGATATCACTAAATTGGCGATGATTGTGGCGACTAATTTTTGTCACTAAACTTGGCGAGAAATAGCCCCATATCGCCAACTTGGCGACTATTCGGCGATATTATGGTCCAGTCCCTGATTCAATGAATGAGTATTGTAACTGAATAAGTGTAATTAATCTATATATGTAACTGTAACCGTATCCGGGCCGCATATGCCTTCCAGTAATTTCGAAGAGTACTAGAGATTTCTCGGCAGGCGGGGGAAAACTAAATAATACCGAAGAGAGTATTAATTTGGAGTAGTGGTTGTTTAGCTCAGCGTGAGTTCTGAGTATTGAGGCATAAAATAACAAATTTCCAGGCTGATAAATTTGACGGGGGAGTAGACCACAAAATCGTAGCAGCTCTTTTCAGTTTCGCTTTATGCTGACTGGTTATGCTAATTGACTAAGACAAAGCAAATCGAGAGCTATGTGCTTAGAGATGGCTTCTTAAAGGAGTTTTTAAAGGAAAATGGCTTGTAGTCACGTAACATATGGGTTAAACCACGGAAACCACAATGCAACCTACCCGTTCACCGGGATTTGAACCCGAGTCAAGTCACCAACATTCATCGATCTTACCGCTTCCTTTTTTTTTCCCTTTAAACTTCAAAAAAAGCGACCATACAGTCAGTTTCCTTTAGCTGTTCGGCACGACACTGTTATTAAAGTGTCCTTGTGTGTCGATCGAAATTTCTGCATAATAAGGTAGATGATCTTCGAGTATCTTGATGCAATAAATTGTCTAACATAACAGCTGAAGACTAAATGTTTGTTGCATTGATTAAAAAAAAAAATACTGTATCGTATCTGAGTAGATGTTAAAAATTGAAAATTTCTTCTTATTTTTAGTATATTTTTATTTATAATGCTGTCAACTTATTCTTTATTTGTACCCTCTTCCGAATAAACTGAACTAAAATGAAGTAAATTAAATTTCTTTTAAAATGAAATAAAATTTTTATGAAAATTTATCTCTGCTGCCAAATTGAGGTACCAGATTTATCTTTTGTTATAAAATAAGTAAATGTAAAATTCCTTAACTAACAGTTTTAGCAAATTGTAATTTATAAAAAAAAAAAAAATTAACCATATTAGAAAAATTGATTAGGCTTTTATTGTAAGTAAAATTATTTAGAAACTGGAATAAAAAAGTTGACATTTGCTTTTAAATGAATTTTTAATGAACCTGCTACATATATGCTAAGCATTAGATGGTCAGTGCAAGTCTTATATTTTTATTTATATCGATACTAGCGGAAGTACCATATGCCAGTTAAGTTAGATTGAGAGTAATGCATCTAACAACAGAGAGAACGATACCACTGTAATTCTTCTCTAATAACGATGCAAAAGAAGAAAAAAAAATACAATTCATAGTCAGATATTTTTCACTTTGATGCGATATGGAACCCACATAAAAAATTTCGATAGAAAAATAAGCAAATTTTCTCTCATTATATCAGCAACAATGGCACGCAGTTTTGAATGATTTTCGTCTTTCTAATCAAATGGTCGTAAAAGTTCAAGTTCCATCCAATATTTCACCTATATTCAATTTTAGTCGATTAAATGTGGCAAAAAATTTATCATAATTAATCAGAAATCAGTAACGCGAACAAACAAACAAACACACAAACAGACATTCTTCCTTATATATATATATATATAGAGAGAGAGAGAGAGAGAGAGAAAGAGAGAGATTTTGTAAAACTTACAAATTTATGAAACAAACTCTACGTTGAATGTGAAGCAGTAGCAAAACTTTTCGAAATAAAGCATTTTTATCCCCAACGTTTGAGACTGTTGCTACTCGAAAAAATAAGTGCAAAAATTAATGATTTGCTACTCGAAAAAATAAGTGCAAAAATTAATGATTTCGAAGTTTTCAATTAATATTTTGGCTGATTACAAAAGCGTCTTAAATTGTGTACCGCTTTATATACTACTTTATGTTATTTAAATGAATGGAAAAGTTAATAACACGCAAAAAAATCAACACTAGGTCTAATTTTACTTGGCGTAGATGCAAATAATTATCAGAGAGAAGAACAATATACACAAATAATACTAATAATTTACTGCACAAAAATTGTTTTATACAGTATTAAATTATAGCGTCTTGTTAAAAATAAAAAATTATTTCCCTAAAATATATAACGATCCTTGACTTAGTACATATTCCCCAGATTTAACGATAATTATGAAAAGCAAATTAATTTTCGTATTACTACAAAGGGTTAATAAATATTACAGATCAGATCAGCATTTTTTCAATAACTGTAATTAACATTCTGCATAAATTTTCTGAAAGGTTAAGGACTGAGACGATGCATTCATCCTAACATTTCTTATCAAATAACAATAAGCCAGTAATACTCTAAAACATATAGCTTATTTCATGAATTGTTACAGCACAATATAAAATCAATCATTTGAGTAAAAAGTGGTATTAAGTTTCTTACCTTATTGTTAAAGGATTATCCGCTAATTTCAGCGTAGTCAGAGTCAAGCCATTAAAAGCAGCATCCGGTATCTCCGTTATTCGATTGCGTGATAAATCAAGCTCCTTAAGATTTGTCAATCGCTTGATTGATTGAGATGGAATCTCCCTCAGCTCATTTTGTTCTAAATTTAAACTGCTTAACGTCCTTTCGAGACCTTGAAAAGCGAGAGGGGAGATCTCACTCAGTCCCACACTCGATAACTGGATAGTCCTAACGTCCAACCCAGTGAAAGATCCGTCTTCTAATGATGTGATAGTTCCATTGATAACAGCCAAAAGATCCAATGGAGGCTTGGACTGCAGAGCCTCTACAAGGCGTGGAAGTTGCACAGATCCACACTGCACTGTCAAACGCAAATTTCCACCAGTCCCACACACGCACCGTAACTGGAGGTCATCGAACAGCGGAGGCCAGTCACATGCACCACTACAGGGCGCCACTAGCAGAATTGTCCAGCAGATCAGGCTGCCCCAGATAACAGTCCACGACAGCCGCATGCCTGAAAGAGAACATAAACATGAGAATCGTTGTTTTGCTTCAGAAGCTATGTGGGCGAGGTGACCTTGTCACACTTAAGCACTGGTTGAAACGCAAAAGGCTTGCTCGGACCAGTGCAGGTGAAAGCTTGTTCACACAGTAGAAGTGGTATAAATTTAATCTCCCAGTTATTTTGTATCGCATTGCACTGCGAAGCTTTATACTTGGATTGCACTTAAAACCTACATCTTGCATTCCGCTTGAAAAATTTGAAGCTACCTTGAAGGCCGAACCATCTTTTATTGCTTTCTTTAAAAGAGGCTTAATTAAGAACTCTGAAAGAAGGATTGAATAGACTTTCAACAACATATTAATTATTAAACACTCTAAATTTTATAGTTGACACGTGAATTTTTCATTTTTGTAATGCAGTATGTCTATACATAATTCAGAAATTTATCATTTACACGCATTAAACAATTAAAAAAACTACTTATACAATAAATATATAATTTTTAAACGAAAATAAAATAGCCGGTTTTGTCCTCTTGACTTTTAGTACTCAATTTACATCAAGTTACTCTGCTCTCTGGAGGATAAAATGTAATCAGATTTTAGACTAAAACTTAAGGCTGACGTAAACTTATATGAATCATTGCAATATGTGAAAATCGATTAAAAAATTACATTTTTAATCGATTTTCATGTATATCAAATTTTATATGCATTTAATTTTACGTTTAATTTTTTAATTTACATTTAATTTTACGTTAATAAAAATTTTACGTTTTATTTTTTTAATTTACATTTTTAACAAGGAAGGATTTTTTTAATTTACATTTTTAATAAGGAAGCATACAAAGAAAATTTTTTTACTTATTGTAGGATGAGAAATAAATAAACTTATGAACAGCATATTTATATAAAGTTTTAGTTGTATACAAACTAAAGAAGAGTTGAAAAAACTCCGATTTCTTAGACCTGACCTTTGCTGTATCTCAGACTAGTGCAAAATTGCCATTGTTTGCTTTGAAATCGTTAAGTTTGTTAATCAAAAATTCGTTAAAGTTTTCAAAAATGTGAAATAGATAACAAAACAAATTCGAAATTTAAAATTCGGGCTTCCAGGTGCCCATGTTCGGGTCGAAAATTAAGTTATTCAAAACTTGGTGGCTCTAGGTATTTTCGTTTTTCACAGTACGAGAAACATGCGTACATCCATGCACATTCTCCCTTAATTTCTGTTAAAATAATACAGGGCGATACTATTTGGTGACAAAAATTTGAAAAGTGATTCGGATTTTTACAGTGATATGACGTAAAATCCCATTTCCAAACTAAATAGCCTTTCTGAGTTCACGCTTCTTTGATTATAATTGTGAATCATAATTAAAGAATAACAATAAATTTTGCCTTATTTTTATTTCGGAGTGAGAAACTACAGGATGCAAACAAAAAACGCTGTAATATATCCCTGGAAAATTAATATCTTACACGTGAGAAATTATTTTGCCTGTTGGCCCATAAAGACATCTTAAAACAACTATTTAACTTTGGGTTTACTTCCAAATACTACAATAAGCTGCAAGGAAGAAATAAAATGAAATATTAAGTATTGAAAACAAGCTGAGAATAATAATAATAGTTTTGTGCCATTAAAATTGCATTTTTAAGGAATCATAAAAATTCGTATTTGAATTACATTATTCAAAAAAGATATCACTTTTCAATTTAATTTAAATTATATTAATTTTAAATTACACATTCACATCTCAAATGACATAACGAAGTGAGAAACAAATTAGGAAGAGCATTAAAGAATTTAAGAAAAGGGATTTGAAAAATCATAGCAAATTTTAAAAAGTAAAAATAAAGAAAAGAAGATAAGATATTAATTATCGATTGGCTAGAATATTATTATCTTTTTTATTATCTTTTTCCCCACTTTGTTTACATTTAGCCTTATCTAAACTATGTGTATTTCATTTTAAATTGTAATATTTTGAACATTATGATTGAGCAAAATAAATGAATGGCATCGTTAAGGAATGAAAATAAAATTATTGCTCAAATAACAGTCATTGTTAGAATATAAAGAAGCAATGGCTTTAAACAGGATGGTCAAATTATTACCGTGCAATTCCTTTTTACAAAATACGTAAACGCTTGCTTTGTTTATTAATAATTTGGATGGGTTAAAATTATAGACTTTTTTAAAGCCATACTACGACTGGAAGACTTCTTTACATGAGCTTAAACTGGTCGTTAAAAGGAATAAGAAAGTAATTTGGGAAATGGTTGCCATTGTTTATATTGAAGCGAAAGCTGCAGACGAAAGTCTACGTAAAAAGAATCAAAATGGCTAAGTTCTGTAGATGTCTTCTTAGATTATAATGTTTATAATTGTTGTGGCGTGGTGCCGGTCTTGAAAATGGGGACAAGGCGACCTGACGGCTAGCGATTTTGGTTCATAATCTCCAGTGGAAGTAATATAATGTGCCACTACAGCGGAACGGAAACAATTGCTTCTTACATTAAAATTCATCTTATGATAGCAGACTTCAGTTGTCAGTTTATGAATTTCATTTGCATAAAAATGGAGTTATCTGAAAGTGGCAACATTTAAATGCATTAAAAATTTGAGTTGAACAATGGGAAGACATTACAAATTAACACGCAAGCAGATACGTTTTATTTATTTATTTTTATTTGAAGATAAACGGAACTAAGAATTAACCGGAATGAACCTGAAAGCATTTCCGGTGCATCTTACTTATTGAAACCAAAAATAACTCGTCTATAATTATTCGTCATCTTCTAAAAGATAATTTTGAAGTAATGATATGCAAAAGATGAATTATCCTTTTTTTTTTTTTTTATTTTTTTACATTCAGCAAAGGGTGACGCTGATTCTTGTTAACTCTGTGCTTGCATTAATTAAAATTTTGTAGATTTGAAGAAATTTTCATCAGCGGCATATAAATTTTCTAAAAATGTGATATTATTAATTTAACAATAGATTAAAAACAAAATTAATGATAAAAGAAAATCTGAAGGCCTTCAGATTTTATATTTCGCTCGAAAAGTCGTTTTTTTAACGTTTTGTGTGTTACCTTTATTTATTAAATATGTTCTTCGCACTTAAACCACATAAAATTCAATTCAACAGCAATATGACAAAATAATTAAAAACAGCAAAACTGCATAACTTTAGAACTTCCGATACAAAGTCTCGCTCGCAGCAGATAATTTTTTTTTTCCTCCCCGTACAGTGTTGCCATTGCTCGCTTGATTTGTGAATGAAAAATTCGTTAAAGTTTTACAACATTTGAAATAATTTGAAATTCGGTCTTCCAAGTGCCCATGTTCGGTTCAAAGACTATGTTATTCTAGACTATGTTATATTTATTGATGGTTCTAGGTATCGTTGGTTTTTCACAATGAGAGAAACATTCATTCATTCATGCAGATTCTTCATTATTTAGTTTCTTTAAATATACTACATGTCGATAATATTTGGTGGCAACAGTTTGAAAAGTGAATCAACGCAGAAAGTTAAAGTTTTGAGGCTAATAACCCTTTGGGTCTAACGCCCCTTTAGGCTAATAACATGTAGAATTAGAAATATCAAGACCCAGAAACTATTTCCATACTTTAAAACACAAATAGTGAGTTAAGCAAAAATCTCTTTTATATATAGAGTGTCCGTAATTTATTCACCGGATAAAGATGTTTTAAATTACACAGAATAAGACTGATTGAATTTTATTCAGTACTTCAAAGAATTTTATGTTAATATATTTCAACATGAGCATCATTAGTTGCTCGAAGAACATCAAGAACCAATCAAAATCGCAATAACAACCTTGTATTTAGCGTACATATACTAAAACACTCAATCGATTTCGAGGGCAGCTAAAGGTCCCTCCTCATCAGGAGAACGAAATTACTAGAAAGGGGAAAAAAGAAGAAAATAAATCATCGGCAAAGGAGTCGCAGAAACACGTGGTCGCTATCAGCACTGCACGTGGTCGCAACCGGATTTTGAATCAGAGTTACACTGACCGCCTACTTTTACTGAACATCAAGAACATTTTGATTTCCCTCTCGACATTATTAGCATTTTCGGAGTCACGGCAGTTATTTGTGTGGTGATTCAATTTTTAATTCTTCGATGCTGCATATCTTAGCAGCATAAACTCAGTTCTTCAGGTATGCCTAGAAAAAGAAGTCAAGTGGTGTGACGTCCGAAAAACGGGGTGGCCATGAAATTGGTCTACCTCTACCAATCCAGCAATCTGGAAATCTTTCGTCAAGGAAATCGCGCACATGTGTGGTCAGTGGCAAGGGTCCCATCCTGTTGGAAAAAATGTTTGGTTGCATTTCTTCCAGTTGCGGCACGGCAAACAGTCTCAGCATGTCAAAGCAAACATCCGAATTAATTGATGACTCAAAAAAAAAAAAAAAAAAAAAAAAAAAGGACGAGTCACTTTGTTATGCGTTAAAACACACCAAATATTAATTTTAAGGTTACCTCGCTCAATTTATCTTATACAATGCAGGTTTTCTGATTCAGAAATTCTGTATTGTGCAAACTCGTATCCCTTTCCTCGATTAACCTCTTCTGAAACATGAAATGCTGCTTTCTCACTGACTACGATTTTCTGAAGAATTTGATAGTCATTACTGATACGATCCAGAATGTCTACAGAAAACTCCTTACGAAGGACCGGACTATTAGGTTTGACTTGACTCTGCGATTTATACGCAGTCAATTTCAACCATTTAAGAACAATTTTATGAACAGTCAACTTGAGAATTACTGCTTGCATGCTGATACGGCAAATTGATTTAGTGGGATTACGCACAAACATATTTCGAATGGCGGAAACATTTTCGTCATTGACTCTTAGTCTACTTGCATCTCCTTTAGGCAAAACATGTTCGGTTTCTCGAAACAGTTTTAACCATCTTTTAATTGATTGTTCCTTTGATGGAAGTTTATTAAATTCATGTCGAA